GTTGGAAAGATAATATTTAGTCGCCTTATAACTCAGAGTGCTTCCTATTCTGAAAGGGTGCTTCAATTCCCAATCAAAATGCACAATTCCAGTCAGTACAAGTGACACAAAATAACTAAATTTATTATCAGCAAGCGGAACGACTGGGAATTCAAGCACATTATCATCACCTCTTTGTTGTGGTTTCGATTATTTTTTTGACAGTATTATCAGTTCAAAAAGAGAAAACATTAACAACACTGTTTGATTTAATGAGAAACAATGTTTTCATGTAATTTGTAATGGTGGTCTAACATTGATCGATTCATGGTTTCAAAATGTGTAACTTCACAATCCTGTAATGCAAATTACCTGTGTTCACTAATGACTAGCTCCGTGAGGAATCTTCTCCAAGTTCTAGTGCGTAGTCGTGACCAATGAAGTCCAACCTGTTCGGATTTAGACAGTAACTACCGAAGACTGTGTATGAGGTTGCGCAACTCCGTGAATTGATCACGTTAGACATTAACGTCGTAATATACCGGCCTAGTGGTCCAGTGGTTAGGTATTCGCACGCAAGACCGAAGGTCCCAGGTTCAAATCCTGCAAGGTGTATAAGTCATGGATCCGCACTGATGACAAGTCGCATACCAGGACGAAGAGGCCGTCCAGTGCTTTCAGGTTTCTAATAGTGGTCTAACATTGGCCGATTCATGGTTTCAAAAATGTGTAACTTAACAATCTTCACAACCCTGTAATGCAAATTCGTAATAAATATTTTTGTAAAATGTAAAATGTTTTGTAGTCATTTCTTTGTTTATGATCGTCATTATTATTATTATTATTATTATTGAAGTCATAAAGTATATATTCATTTGTTGTTATTTCTCTCTGATGTATTTATTTATTTGATAATACTGTTTACATGTCATGTGAAAGTTGCCAAGATGTGAAAAAAAATTTTATTTTTTCCAAATGTTTATCTTAATTTTCAACAGCTTTTTTTCCTCTCCTTAATTAGTATACTTGTGGTGTCCTGTGTATCATGCCAACCTTTGATTTGATTTTATTTTGATGGGCGTATTAATTAGTAAGCACGCACGCATATATATATATATATACATGTGTTTCTATATGGTGCTTACTATGTGCACTTTTCGTCAACATCATACACTTTGACAACTGTGTTTTGTTTACATACAAAAAAGGTAGGTAAACAAAGGAAAAGAAAACATGCGAAATAATGTGACAGTCCGAAGAAAATAAAAAACACAGAGACAAACAATAAATAGTAGTTCGACAAGACGTCATGTTTATTTTTTTTTTGTTTTAAAGAGACATGACAATAAAAAACTTTTCAAGTCCGCTTTTTTCTAAATAAAATTATAGACATCATAAAAAATGTAATTTAAGGATAAATAATTCTGTTTTTTATTGTTTTAAAACACGATGAAAGTTTTCTTCCATGTTGTTGTTGTTACTGATAAGGGTGGTCAAACAAAAAAAGGATTCAGTCAAATTACACAATGAGTTTGATTTTGAATTATAAAATGAAATTCTTTTTTTGCAGTCTAATCTTTGTACTTACCACACAACTGAATATCCACTTGAGTTAAAAGGCAATGCTTCCTAAAGTTTGACAATACTCAAAGTTATCCATCAGCTTAAAATGCATGAAGTTTGTTACAGGTCGAACAAACGATTTTCAATAATATATGAAGTTTCAATAGAATGTATTTTAAAAACAGAAATTCTCAAAAATAAAATACTACTATAATATTATAAAACCGTTTTAATATTTTCAATTAGAGTTATGAAGATTAGTATTCTAACACATTTAAAATCATCAATCAATCATTGTTAGACCACCATTTGAAACCTGGAAGCACTGGACAGCCGTTTCGTTCTGGTATGTGACTTATCAACAGTGCCCATTCACGACTCCTGCACCTCGCAGGGTTCGAACCCGTGACCTTCGGACCATTGGACCAATGGGCCGGCATCCGATGGTGTTAATACCTAACTTTGATTGATCTAGGGATTTTGCGCGACCTCAATCATTTGTCTTCGGTAGTTACTGTCTACACCCGACAGGGTTGAACTCAACTGGTCACTTTTTGCATTGTTTTTATCAAGTTTAAACAATAAAGTCTGCTTACAAAAGTGTGAAGTTACTTTTAAATCATGAGCTTGACAAAAATGTTCATCATATAGTCGCATCTTGTTATTATAACTAAATGTAGGTTCCATTTTTGAAGGCTTTGTTTGTGAAAATCCCATATTGATTCCTTCACTCGTACATTTTTGTTAATCTGTTCGATTCCATTTTGAGATGATAATATTTGTATTTTTTTTATAGTTTCTATGTTTCTTTCTGAACTGCATTTATGTTGTTTCAGCTGATACTTATAATGGCGACAGCCATATTTTGGTATGGTTCTCAAGATTTATCAAGTTCCTTCTCATAGTATATGGATAAGTTATCCTATTCTAACGTAACTGTAATGAATATTTCTCACTAACATTGTTTAATATATTAGTGGAGATGGATAGTGGCTAAAACTGGGATGCTATTTTGGACTCGTCATGTTAATGTACATGCATTTTGAGACTTAAACCTAGCACATTTCGCTTCGAAAGACGGAGTGAACATCAACTGTAAGGTGCAGGTACATCCAGCTGACGATTCCCGAACAGGAAGAAACACGTATCTTGTATTTCATTGACAGCTACTATCCATCTCTGCGACTGATGCTTGTAATCTAAAGGCAATACCGAGGATACACATATACGAAATAGACTGATCAACCGCAATTCTAAACATCAATGATGCGATTCAAGTAACCAATATAAATGAATTTCTGAATGAAGTTGTTATAAATTTAGACATAAGCTAAATCATTTCTGTTTAGCTAATGTTTGATTTCAATTAATCGCCAATCAATTAAAACGTTTATTGATATTTTTTACAGCCTGATCAATGTTTCAAACACTGTTAATTTCCTGTAATATTGATTTGATTATTGTTAAGTTCAAAAAGTAGGAATTTTCGTTTTCTTTTTCCCACCTATTTTAAATAAATCATTCCTTATAACCTTAACTAACTAGTATTAGGTATTCAGTACTTTTAAAAATTCAAAATATTCAGCAATTGTCATACGTTATTGATTTAATAAATTTTTCTATTTAAAACTACATTGTAATAATTCTTAGTTGTAGGTAGAACTTTCTTTAAATTTGTATCGCATTGATTTCAGTTCAACTTATTATTGATAATCGCTACTGGTAAATATGTCAATTTGATTACAAGATTATCTTAGTCAGTAAACGAGAGTAAGGAACGAGGATCCGGCGACCCGACAGGCTTCTCTAATCCAAGTAAAAGATGAAGACTTGATATGAAGTGGAACCTGTATTCTACAAGCATCCAGAAAGTACGAGCTCCGAGTCCAGAAGAGAATCAGGATACCGGATCAAGGATAAGGATCCGGGTTCGGGTCATAAAACGTTACAGATCATGCACATTTATACAATTAGGTCGAATAGGAAACAACATGAAAGTCTCTGATATTGACAATTAGGACAATCATAATATTGACCAGTAGGAATTGACCAACAGAATTAGACTTAGGAAAAAACTAATTCTCCTAGGATATTTGATAAATTTCAGACAATAATTTACTTATTATAAACGTTTGGATTTTTTCATTTGTCACTTTATACAAATGAGTTCATTTCTCTTTGTCGCATGAAAAACAAACAAACATGAAAGGTTGCAAAAATTTTTTTTATCAAAAACAATCATGTAGGTCTTTCTATTGCTTTCTTTTTTATCATATAAAATTCGTTTTTAATCACTAACTCAACTTTTTTTTTTCCCCTAAAAAACAAATATTTAATGCAGAAATATTTTTTTTTCCTTTGACACCATAATAAATCTATGTAAGTATAATTTTGTTTGATTTTTTTTTGTACGAATACACATGTGTTGAATAGAAAAAAAAATGAAATAAAATTAAATAAAATAAAATTGTTTGTAAAAAATTTATTTATCTTGTTTTAATTCTTTGTGTGGGTGTGCGTGTGTGTGTAGGTGTGTAGAAAAATTCCTTTTATTCTTATTTATTAAACCGAACCAATCGAAATACACATGAAAGTACTTATATTTGGTAAAATACAATACATATATATATGTGCTTGTAGGTATGCCTTAATAATAATAAATAGTAAATAAGTAACATTCACATAGACATGTAGTTTAGCAGAACAAAATAAACTAACAACCATCTGGTTTACACTTACACACACACCTACACACACACACCCAAAGAAAAAACATATTCACTTTCGACTAAAAACTTTCAATCTTTATTTCATTATTCTGTTGTTTTCTATCAATAATAATATTCATAATAATATTAATAATAATAATAATTATTATAATTCAGAAGAGAAAATCTGTCCTAGTTGTATTTATAAATACTGTAATTGAACAACATATGTATAACAACTATACATGTAAATAGACTGTAGACAGTTATATTATCTGCCTACCAAGCATACATACATGCATGCATATATATATGTATATAAATATCTTTGAAAATTCAAGACAAATAATTCAACGGCTTCATCAACGAAAAGTACAACATTGAAAATTTGGTCATATATATCATCAATCAGACTAATTTGACATTGAGTGAGTGATTCAATCATTCAATCATCTGTTGAACACTAATTTGCACATCAGACACTTCTTATTACTGATAACTGATTTAGTAAAAATAATCTTTCATAAAACGATCATTGTTCACTACATTTTTTTTACTCTGTCATAATATATCATCACTGTCAACTCTTAAAAATCAACTATACAAAATTCTTTGGAGAAACTAATTGAGTTAGCGATTCAAGTAGTAAGTGACAAAAGATTAACATTATTATTATTATTATTTCAAGATTCGACATAAATATTTACTGACAAATATATATACATATACATAACGTTCCAGAATCTCGTTATAAATGAACAATTATTGATGAGAAAATTATAAAAGTCCTATGTATCGTTTCTGTGAATTTTATCACTGAGAAAAATCATAAATATACTATCCGTAAAATCATATTAAATAACATAAAATAAAATTTAATTATACAATTAATAAGTCAATCAACTCAATCAAATCAAATTGTGATTTCGGAAAATTACCTCCTACAAATATCAACACATTATTATTAATTGTTAGAGAAAAAGTTTATTCGAATAACTAAAGTACTTTTGTGGAATTACAATTGTTGGTCAGTAGTACTCAATATACATATATATATATATCAACTTTTTCAAGTGAATACATTTTTTATTTTAAAGAATTGTATAGAGCTGCGTTTCTAGAGTAAGTTATGTTTAGTTTTCATATTATCTTATTGATTTTTATCCAAAAATTTGTGAAGACACTGTAATTCTATTAAACTCCTATTGAAATTCTGACGAACTCGATAGATTTTACGCATTTTTAACCACACGATTGATTTCTGACAATTTATTCCCCAAAAAGAGTATACACTTATCAACACATGCACATAATACTTGGTTGCATATTATTTTAAATCTTAGGCAAGTGCTTTAGTAGGTTGATGTCAATAGTTTAACATGAGGAAATGAAACCAGCAACAGCATCCAATTCAACTAACAGGTGTCCTAGTTATCAAGTATCAACTAGTTGATATTTTGTAGATATTTAAGAAGAACAAGAATTATACGTAGCTGTAAAGTTTATACACAGTCAAGTTTGAATGGAGAACTATGTATCAGCTGAATTGTAATGTTATTCCAGTAAATAAACACATTAAAATCTATTGTTATTGTTCGTGTTATTAACATGACGAATTCCTTGGCTTGAAGTCAATTTCATGCTGTGATATTTCCAAAGTTCATGGTTATAGCAATCTGTTTTAATTTGATAATAAATTTCATTGTTTAATAAATTTATTTAACATAAATACCAAGAATATTTTGGCACAGCTGTATTTACTTATTCCAAATAGCGTTATTTTTAAATGTGGTATTATCATCTGGATTAATTTATAATGTTGAACATAACTACTTACAGTCAGGATCATTTTATTTTGCCAATAGTTTGCTCTTTACCATAAGCAAATTATGTAGTTGAAGTAAATATATGCCTGAAGTGCTCAACCATAGTTTGGTTGTTAGTTGGCACACTCCAATAAGATATATCTAGAAACTTGTATAGACTGATGTATCCGGCAGTATTCAAATTTGCGTCATTCATTGTTATAATGGGCGCTATTCAGGTAACAGCTGTCCCCTATAGGATGACGCCATACAGAACGACTGGTTTATTGTCAATAATAAACATTTGGAATCATATAACATGATATTCATTTTTATCCGTTGGTCAGTCAATGTGATTACATAGGGTTATGTTACACAGTGTATTCAGTTACTTGCAAATGCCTAATTGTCCTTATTTAACATTCACTTATTTAATATTCGTTTACATCATATCTGAGGCGTTTTCTGACTTTTATGCAAACACTTAAAGACTATCTTACTGCAGATAATCAAATACAATATTTTTCGCAATGTCGACAGTTTTAATTTAATTAATGAATACTATTTTTTGAAATCATCGCGGCTTGATAAAACTGGACTGTTATTATTATATCTGTGAGAGAGTTTGCCAACTCAAAACCCATAAATACGTTAATTAAACAACTGATATAATTGTTATACTGTCTCATCTTCGATCAGTTTCATTTCTTATAATTTCAATGTGTGACAGCAACGAAGTCTTCAAAATTAATTAACAGATATAAAACTATAAATAGTTAGTTTTGTAAAATTCTAATCTTTTTAATAATTGATATAGCCAGTATTCTTTTAAAGAAAGATAGTGGATAGGTGGAAGATTTGCTTACAGAAATATACACTCTAAATAATCACCGTTGAAATTTTCAAACACTTTCTGTAATAAATAAATTGAAACAACACTCAAACACAAAAATATTGAACATGTATTTCATCTTAGTGTGAAGCTGATCATTAATGCTCCCCTTCTGAATGACATCATATAGAGATTAGTGAGGTTAGTAAGTGAATACAAATCAGTTGATTAATGTTATGACTGACTAAAATAGTTATCCATTGTTGCCAGTGATTTATCGCTATGATTCCGACTTGGCTGAGTTCACAGGTTACAGTATCTGAAATCTATAACCGGTCACTAAAAAATAAAACTGAGGCCTTCAGGTTATTGACTAACGTTTTAAAAGTATGCTTTAAGTCCATTCTTAAATGTTGATGACTCTTATGCTGATAGGTAATTAAATGTTTAAAACATTTCAATATGAATTTGACTCAAATCGGTTCGTTTGTTAACCATAAAAGGCAATCGACATATTGAATTTTCTCCTTTATTCCATTCGCTGTTAAGAAATCAGATTAATCAAAGCCGGTGTTTTAACAAGTAGTGTATTATTATATTCAAATGAAATAATTGCATTTTAATTTTATCTATCAATTTACAAAAGTTGTTGCATTATGTGTATCATCTAAGCGCCTAAGCAATGAATTTTCAATAGATCGTGGGGTTTTTATAATTTAATTAAAAACGCAAACATTATGGTGACAATTAAAATAGCGATTTCAAAAAAAGACTGTTCAATTTGATGCTTATAGTAAACCGATATTTGCATAGAGAGCACTATTCAACAACTTGCCTCCATGACCTCGTGTGGAGTCGATAAAGTACCGAAGCAGACAGTAATATTAAGCTATGTGTTATTTGATTTTACTTTATGAAAGATACTAATATACATCATTAATATAGAAGGGTATCTGCAAACTTCTCGTTTACACGGATCTCATTAGCTGCAATCAAAAAGTGTAAAAATTTTAAAAAGACAATTAATTGTGTCACCTACGCTTACTAGATATTTTTGTTGAAAGGGTTTTTTATTTTTGAAGATAATTAATGTAGCTTGGATCTAGGTATTTGTCAAGTACTGTTATCAACTGAGTTATCAGTGAAAATTATACAGCACAGAATAAATGTATCATTCTAAATGAAGACTTACTTAACAGAGTATAATTATCGCTTTCTTGATTGAAAAAAATAATATTGATTTTTCAATTACTATTTAGCATTGAACTGGATTTTTACGATTTGTGATATTTTTTTTCTCAACTACAATATAACAACAGTTATACTTGATCTGCATCTAATGTTTTAGAGAAGTTTCGACGTATTCTTTTTGTTTACACAATGGTATTAACTCAATTTATTCGAACAATATGATTGTTTTTGATTAGATCGTCATCAGGCTTCACTCTAATATATACATGAATATTTATAATGAGTATGTTAAGCGTCACTAGTGACACCATTTATTTCATTAAATTGTGATTATTGACTCGCGAATTGCCTTGATTGGTTTAACATGTTCAATATAAATATTAGAGTAAAAAGCCTGATGACGATCTAATCGAAAACAATCATATTGTTCGCTTATGTGTTGTTGTAATTTTCACAATAGGAATCTTTAATATGCCTAAATCGTTTACCTCAATCATTTGCCAACGGAGTTTGATCCCGTCACCTACACATAGAAGCCATAGGAACACGTACATTCAACCCCAATTTATGCGTTCAGAAGAAATTTGTGACACCTGTATCTCTTCCATGGCTGGATATGACTTAACTAACGTTGAAAAATTTTTTAAATTCTATTTTGGTTATTGTTAGCATTATTTTCATATCCTGTATTTGTTGATAATTCTCTGCCTCTTTCCGTTTATATTCTTCACTATCTAATTTATGTACACACTTCTTATTACGTAATGGTTTTAATGTTTTGTAATGATTATTTTAAGTCTATTTATCCACGTTTGACCTACTATTGACAAAATACTTTAGTTATCGTATTTTATAATTTTCTTACCACTACTATCAGTACACCTGTCTTCCTACTATTATGTGTGTAGTGACGTAATAATCTATTTCATTTCGTCGTGCTTATAGACTCGTTAATTGCTTAGATTTGTTTAACATTTTCATAAAATAAATATTCATGTATTCATATTAGAGAGTGAAGCAGCCTGATGACGATCTAATCGAAAACAATCATATTGTTCTTCGTTTATATCTATGTTGTTCAATGTAATCGCTAATATTTTCGATCAAAATTGAACCATTTATTTTCAAAAAAAACTATAATAATAACCCAGTTTCAAGCAAGTAGATAGAAAATTTTTTACAAAGTAAACAAATTAGCATTGCGTATAAATATAGTTGAAGTGTACAGGTGAAGCTAAAATTGATAATCATTGATAACCATTTATCATTTTCATTATTGCCCATTAAACGTAACAATGAAATGTAATGTAAACAGTTGTGATATGATACAGTGATATGAAATTCTAATTGTTTTTGAAAGCGTCTCTTATTATCTGTTGCATTTTAAATAGTTTTATCCTAAAATTGAATAGAAATGAAATGTTTACTGAAATGAATAATCAATTTTAAATTTTCTGCCTAAAAATATTTTGAATGTAGTCAATTACAAATGAGTGAAAGCAGTTCATGCGAGAAAAAAGTCAGTCAGTTAATCAGTTGCAACGTAGAACTTCGTACGTATGTACATAAGTTCATGTTGTCATACCACATTAGCACAGCGACGAAAATGTCAAATCAAATCCCAAAGTGATAAAGATAGTAGAGATATTAATGGTAATGAAGAAGACTAGGGTTTGAAGATATTATTCAAGCAGTATAATTCAGTAAGATAAGGTTAGAAAGACAAAAGTAGAGGTGAGAAAAGTAGGGTAAATTGTCAAATGTAACGACTGGTACCGATGAAATGTGGTTTTTCTGAAGACTATTTCTTTATTCAATGTTATGTTGTAATTTTTGTTACATTTGATTAGTAAACTGATTGATAACAAGGAAAAGGTATTATGAAGGATAATTTCAACTAAACTAGTCATCATTAGCGCATTTCAATTTTACTGCATTTTTTTATGTAAACATGACAGATTAGGGTAATGTTATCCGTCAAAATGTAAACTTTTGAATCAAGATTATATTAAGTCTCACCAATATTGAACATTGTTTTTAGAGATTCGAATTTCGTTGGTCTGATCCGAGGTGAGCTTGTGAATGTATACTGTTGAGGAGTCCCATACTAAGATGAAACAGCCGTCTAGTACTTTTTTATTTTTCAGTAGTTGTCTGACTAGATTTAGTTCGTAAATGTAATTTCAACAAAGTCCTTACATTGTGCGAATCTTGTTTTAGCTGTTAAAAGTGTATTGACATCTGAAGGAGTTTGCGTTATAGCGGTTTTGTAACTGACATCACTGTTTATCTTG